CCAACCTAAGAGCAGCGATGGCCTCCCACCTATTAGCGATGGCCTCCAACCTAAGAGCAATGGCCTCACACGTCTCGAGCCCTCCTGTTTTCTTTGAGTTCCAGGTGATTGAAGCCATCGATGCGGACGAGCCCATGATTCTCCAGGTGGGCAGAGTGGTGTGCTGGAGAACGCAGAATTCAGTAATAAACCTGCATGAGCAAGCTGTAAGGATGAACAAAGACCGTGGAGTAACTATGAGTATAGCTGTACAGGGATGCAGTCTATGAGTTGAAAAAATGTGTTCGTTTAGTCATTTGTGGCCCACCCCCTCCAAGCTGCCTAATACATTGTATGTTGCAAGCTGTTGGTCCGCAGCTCTGAATGTGATTTTTAGATAGACCCCTCTTCAGCGTTCTAGAGAAGCTTCCCAGTTCATTTTTGTGGAGGGTTCTTTGAAGCAAACCTTACCATCGATCCAGCAGTTGACCATGCTGCAACCCAAAAGATGTTCTATCAGTTATATCACATCTCCAAGAGTCCAAGGATGTATCAGGACTATGAGAAAAGGTAAAACCCCTCGGGAAAAAATACAGTTGTACTTTTGACTGGTACCCAATCACATCGTCGATTGAACCCCAAGGTGCTTCATAAGGCATGGAGCTGGGGCATCACCTTTGGCCTACAATCTGACGGGGTCCCGGACCATCCTGAGGATGCGCTTAGAATGCTCCAAACAGGATTGGGAAGTACGTTGAATCCTGCGTCCCAGACCCTGAAAAATAATTCATCGAGGTGTCAATGTCATGTTCTGCAAGAAATCGCTGGTTTTTCCCCCCATCACACTGTTCAGGATCATCCATTCAATTCCTGAACAAAGAAATCAAAACATCTCTCCAAGACCTCTCCAACATGTCCAGTGATTGGGACCCAACTTCTCACTATATCTCTCTCCAAAAGGTGTCCCACCCAAAGCGCCCCCCACCCACCGCGCTTCGTCCCACCAACCCTTCCAGTTCGCAGGCTCCGAAGGTGGCCTTTGAGGAGACGCTGGCCACGCAGTCCGCGCCCGCGCGGACCGCCGCGCAGCCAGACCACTCGGTGCCCCTCCCCGGGAGCCTGTCGGGGCGCTCAGGAGGACGGCGCGGAGCGCGGAGCGGTGTTTCGGTGTTCGTGGACGGTGAAGCGTCTGTTTGGTGAAGCGTTGACGTGAAAAACAGGGGAAGTCCATGTTGAGCAACATGAGCAGGGAAATTGGGAGGTTGGTTCTGATGGGCCAACCGATTCAAACGACAAGACGGGAGCTGTGGGCTGCCTTGGTAGGCTTCGCCCAGCCAACAAGAGTCAAGTGGAAAGAGATGCGCGGTGTCCTGCCATGGGTCTTGCTGAAAACAGACTTAGTTTCTTTGCCTAGCAGCACTACACCTCTGGAGGTTTCTTTAGATCTGGGTTAGATCCCTTTGCTGGGAAGTGCAGAAAGGGTTTCAAAGGCCGCAGTGTACTTGTCAATGGGTGTGTATTCAACGGGCGAACTGAGTTCCACCTCCGGAGATCTCTAAGCTGACCATGTTTGTTGGTGAAATTGATGATCTGGGCAGAGTGGATTGTTGAGAGGTCAGGCCGAGTTCTCAAAGCCACTGGTCTTCCGACTGATGTGGTCCTTTCCCATCGGCTTTTTACTACCATTCCGTCTGCATGTGTTTCTTCCATTCTTGGTGGTTAGAGCCCTTCCAATAAGAAACGCCCTGGTTTGCTTTGGACGCCCAGTGTGTTGCCCAAAAGGACTCCAAGATACTCTTTGGTAGAGTAGACACTGGTTTACGGTACGGTGTCCATGTCAGCTAGCTCTTTCATGCACCATTTCATGCAACGCTTCACAAAGCCAACTGAGTTTTTTACTTTGAACTTTCTGCAAGCGTTTGCCTAATTATAATGTCACAGGAGACGGAGGTTTTAGGCTAAGTTGATTCTCAGTGTCCTTCTCCAAATGAGTCAATGCACTTTTTGTAGGATGGCTTTTTAGGTCTCCAAGATCACGAACCATCTGAACCAGCTGTCCCCTTTCAGCCGACAACGGCACGTGGTCCGTCAACACCGCTTCCCAGGGAGGAAGACCTCTTGGAAGAGCTGCCAATGTCGGAAGCTCAGCGCTTTGACCCGAGCCAAGAAAGCGATACCAGATGGCACAGCACATGCACAGCACCACCCCCTGAACGAAACTTGCTGGACCCATATATCTTTTTCTTTACCTTGTTGACCCGTTGTTTTCCAACTACTGTGTCACAAAAAAAGTAAACCACCAGGAGTCACAAAGGGGTGGTTTTTAGTCCCTAAGTGAGTTGATAATGGGCACCCCTACCCTCCAAGTTCGGCACCCTCTTGTGACTGGCATGTTCAACGAGCTTCTGACCCAATCTTCGACCCCCTCGCCTCGCCTGTGAACCTCGCCGAGGCCTCACGAGAGGTCGGCGCCCAACCGCATCCGGAAGGCGAGTGAGACGTGAGGACGGCGGTCATGGCGGTGCCTGCGTGTGCCTGTGTGCAGTAGGTTGGAAGAGGACTCATGGGACTGGTCTTAGCATTCCCACAAGATGGACAGAATGGTGAAATTCTCAGGGAATACACTGGGTTTTCCTATATCATGTGTCCTTCTAAACCCAACGTCGAGAATTGACAGACGGATCTTCTACAAGTTGATGCTTGGCCACGAAAAAAGCGGAGACCAAGTGACCGTTTGGTTCCAGGGTGTTTGCAGCCTTTCTCAATTGTCGCCAGTTGGTAGTGGCTGTTTTTGAGTGGCTTGTTTGGAAGCACCTTCCCAGACCGATTTCCTTGTCGCCATGTCGATGGTTGGCGGAGTCATGGTTCAACGGGCTCGGACGATGCGGATCGCGAAATGGGGTGACCGTCTGAGTCGAAGACACAGCGGCCAGTTGCGGCAAGCCCTGTACTTCTCAGCCCCTTGAGCTTGCCTAGACAAACCTCCAATCGCCTGACCTGTGAGGTGAGTACCCAGGCTGGAGGGAGGAAGGGAGACATCTTTGGGCGCAGCGCGATCGGGGAGCTTTGGTGCTTCTCGGCTCATTTTCTCGCTGGGGCTTCTTTAGTCTTCGTTGACCTGGAGGTGTTTGTTGAAAGCCCGAGACGGACCAGAATGTACTTCATGTTCGAAAGAAACCTCAGGAGCACCAGTCAAAGTCCTTCAAAACTTCGAGGAAACTGTCCAAGGGCCAGCTGAAGCGCCGACTCCATAAGACCAGACTTCTGCACCGGGTCGAAGCCACCCCATGAAACGGGAGTCGGACCGGAAAAGAAGAAGCCCTGAATGGGGATGTGTGTCTTGATGGTAGGGGCCCTCATCAACCATATCTTCCACATACCATTTCATTCAAAAAAAATCACCGCCATCAAGATATTTGTTGATGAGAACCCCTCCCAGAAGATGCCAAGTTACGAAGTTAATTGAATGAAAGGTTCTTGAAGCCTTGAACCATTGGTTTGGAAAGGTCTTTGAAGGCTTTTAAAAAGCCCTGAATGATCACTGATGGTCTTTGCAAGGACATGCTCAGGGTGATGCGGATCTTTCCTATGGGTCGTGTCCCTTTCCTGGTGCATAGTTTGCAAAAAGAAGTAAAAAGCAAAACACTTCCGAACCCTTTTTTGTAGATCTCCCTCGGAAGCGGTTCCCTCACCCTGTCTCCGTCTCGCTCCCCTTCGCCGGTGAGTGCTCGGCTTCCAGATGGTGCATGACGCGGTGCACATCCGGAAGCAAATGATGAATGGCCAGGTGCCGAATCGACGGAGGGAAACGGCGAAAGGGTGGGTCATGGCCGCTACACTAGGGGGGTCTTTCAGCATGAGTTTGGCGCAGAATTCAGGTGTTGATGCATTTGGGATCCGTCCGCTAGAGTCCATCTTCTATCAGAACAGCTTCCTAAAGCTGTGCAGAGGTAAATAAGACCCAATATAGATCCTAATAGACTAATCAGCCAATACCCCGCACCGCTTTAGGGAAGACTGGTTGAACAAGCCATCGCTTGGCATGATCGATGCTTGCGGGTCCTGGACAATCTGTTCATCATGGTCTTAGCCTTTGAAAGGAGACCATAAATTGAAGCTTCCTGGTCCAAGTGCTCCGCAAAGTGAGAACAATATGTAGTAAAGCCTATCAAAGCCTCTTGTTACTAGTAGCGTCCTTGTTACTATAGTAGTTTCTGCCAGGAGCTACGTTCGTAGCGTGTGTAGCGATGCCCCTACCTCAACGTTCGTAGCAGCTCATATGGGAAGAAATGACCCAAATCGCCGTAACCGTGTGTTGGGTTCCGCGGTGCAAAGACATGACCCGGTCTGGTGCGAAGGCTGGGTCCTCTTCGCAGCCCGAGCGGGTGACCAGCCTTTGGCTGCGTACGTTTTCGGTTTGTGGCCTGGTCAGTTCTTCGATCAGCGAAGTGTCAGTCAGGTTAACTTCGATCTGAGAGGAGCAAAGTGGACATCCGCAGGAGTTGTTTGGAACCCCCCAAGAGAAAGAAGCTACGATCGGGGCTCCTGGCATCGCTACGAACGGAGCAAGGACACTACTAAGTGCGACCCTCTCTTGCCCACTTCCTTCGGATGAACCGATGTCGAAGACGTCGCACCGGTGACGTCAGGGCGACGATTCGACCCTGGCCTCCGACAAGATGCGCAAGTTGAAGACCGCTCGTGTTTGTCGGAAGTCGTCGGTGGACGGGATTCCTGACCCAGGTTCCTGGCGAAGCGAAGCGGGGTCAATTTGAGATGGACCATGGGAATGCATCCGGGTGTTTGGAAACCATGAACCTCGTCCAAGTCAGGTCGGTCGACCCTCTTTTTGAGGGCTGAAGAGTGGAAAGGAACTAAAGTGGACCCTTGGGGCACCAGAAGAGACGAAGACGTCTCCAGAGTCCCTTCGTGTCCAACCATCCTCATTCCTTAAGTCACACCGGTCAATCTAGACCCAGACACGACCCACCATAGATGCCTTCAAAACGGCCAGGGGTGCTGCCAGGGGGGATCAATTGATCGGCAGTCCTATGGCAGTCCCATGGAGTGTCTGGGAGATGACTGCTCTCCCCATCCACGACCGGAAGACCATCTCCGACCCCCCAGCCGAGAGTTGGCATAAGACGATCGCCAGCCAAGGATTGGCTAAGTCGTCGTCGCTCGTGGGCTAAGTCGTCGCTGTTCACAAAGACCAGGACTTGGTCTAAAGAAGCCCTACCAAATCCGAACAAAGGTAGTTGACCAAGGCCCAAGGCTCTACAGTCGCTCCTGCCCTTTGCAGTAAGGCTGTAGGAGTAGCGGTCACCGCAAGGCGCTGCGTTCCACCGACGGGTTGGTTTTGGCAATACTGAAAAAAGGGCCGCTGGTCACGTGGTCTTGAAGTGTTGGGCACCGCGAGAAGGTCCTCCCCAGCACGTCCCGAAGGGACTGGACCGAACGAAGGCGTTGGGACTGGTCACGCACCTTCGAAAATGGCCTGCAAACAACAGGCCGCGTGCTGAGCGCCCAATGCCGTGTGTTTGGCAATTGGCTTGCTCATGCAGCCCCTGGGCAACCATGAAGCTCAGCAAGCAAGCAACGTTCTTTTCAGGCATTTCTTGGCGGGAACAAGGTTTATATTGAAAATGAGTAGCTGGACCAGATGCCTACTGGAGGAGGCGTCGTCTTGTTTGCCAACGTGGCAAGCCAGCCCATGCATTGGTGGTTTGAGTCCACCCGCCACCCTGGTCCACTTTCAACTTATTCTTCACTCTGGCTCTTCTTCCCTTTCTTCATTAAAGTGGCCTTGCGCCTCTTGACCACCAGCACCACCAAACAGTGTACAAGCTTCGGTCGGACATCTTCTCCTAGACAGCGCAGCTGTCTCAAAACTATGGGGCCTCAAGGTGCATCTTACGGGTGAACCCGCTACGCGGAGAAGAGGCCTTCTCTTTCAAAGAGGCCCAGATGAACAACTCCAACTCAACCAGATCAGGATCCAGAGAAGTTCCTGGCTATCCTGTACTTCCTGGCTATCCTGTACCATCTGGGAGCCGGCTCCCCGAGATAAGCACCTGTCCAATGCATCACCGGATCACCGGTCACAGCACCTGCTTCCCACAAAACACCCAAGAGCCATCCCACAGATCTTCAATCTCAATCAATATCTTCAACGGTAAAAACATTGAATTGAATCACCACTACCACCATTCAGAATGGAAAAGAAATTCTATGAATCTACATTGAATCTACCATCATTGTATCCGTCAGAAATGGAAAATAGAATCACCTCCTCAGCTTGTAACATACATACACCCCTACCACCACATACCACCACCCAAAAATCCCATCGCTCGACCAGACTCCCTACCTTGGAGGTGGATCATGATGCCGGTCATGGCGGACCAATGAAGAACGGAATAAATAACTAGGGTCGGTCATGACATGATCATGATCATGCCAATACCAGACATGTCCTACTTCCTACTTCATGCCATATGGTGCTATGGTGGTATGCCATCGACGTCCCAGACGTCGAGACGTGGTAGCCGAGACGTGGTCGGTCGGTGAACTCGTTCCGAAAACGGCCGAGACGTGGGTGATCAGGCGGGTTGTGCAGCGATGGGTAGAGAGATCGATGTCTTCCCGACGATGTCAGCCGGGTGGATGATGTGGCGCTTCTTGTTACTACTAGTAAGGCACCTGTGACTAGCGATGCACCTGTTACTAGTAGCTTCCTAGATATGGCGAGCGTTGATATTGATCTCGCAAAAGTTCAGAATTGCAGGATGGATCCCTTCGAGCACATGCTCTACGAGCAGCATTCTTTCAAGCAACTTGGATGGCGGGAAAACACTCTCCCTTTCCAGGTTGCTTTTCCTGCGCAGAAGATCCAATACCAGGGGCCCCACAAACTATCAAAAACCTGGTTTTCCCTAGCAAACGACATGGTTCTTGTATGTGAAAACTTTTTTTTCATGGGTTTGAGGGCCGCCTTTTCGAGAGAAACCTAGTCCTCATAGATCTACCCTTGCCTCCGTGTGCCTCATATGTTGTTGGTTGTCCATGGAAGCCCCAGCTGTTTTAACTCAGACAAATGTTCGCAGCACCTCAACCACCTCAGAGGACATGCCCAAGGATTTGCTCTCTTTCTTGCATGGGGTGGAGAGCGGTGCTGGACATCTTCCATAGTATCACACTCGCTTCACCTTAAATCTTCCAACAAACCATGTAGCAAAAACCCTAGTCATGAGCCACAAGAAAAAGTACCCGGCCGGGGTAAGGGCTCTGACTCTTCAACAGTCCTTACGGCCTGGCCGTACTCGTTTTGGTGGCTCGTGACGAGGTCGGCTTCGACCCATCGTCCGATCCAAGGCCAATGCTGACGAGGCAGAGCTTCTGTTCATTGCAGCTTGGACGAAGTGACGAAGCAGCGGCGGAGCTCTTTTGGTTCCAAGAAGGAAGCATATGCAACAGAGATGATGCGAAACAAGTGTCCGAATACAACCGTGTTAGTGTTCAAGTACAACAGGGACCTATATACATTGCATACACTGTGAAGAGCCAACTCTTCCGTGTAAAAGATCCGTTCCACTTGATCACCCCCGCTGCTCTGAGGTGCTTCCCCCATGACCGACAGGCACGGCAGTCAACGGCGGGAACACAGCATGCCATGCGACGTCAGTGGAGCTCAGTATCCATTTGGGAGCACTACTCAGAGAAGCCTTTTTGGGGAACTTGGGGAAACCCCACTCAAAAGGGACATGTGAAAACCTGTGAAAAGCCCTCTTGAAAAGGGAGTCAAGGAGTTTCCATCAGTTTCCTAACCACCACCGCTTAGAGGGATCGCCGACGTCCTCCTTGGGGGGAACCTTCTTCCAGGCAGTCATTCTATTTTTCGGGAACAACTCAGACGCTTGACCCCCCAACAGCATACCCCGCCAGGCGGGCTATCTATCTAGATTGCCCCTGAAACACCAAAGAGAGACTTCTCACATTGAGAGGTTCTTTGAAGGAGTCGGTTTATGTCGCGCCACCGTTGAAGTGGCAAGGTTAGATGAGTTCTCACCGGCGCAAGGGCTCCTTTCACTGCCAGCAGCGGGTTTTATCAGACCAACCCCACCAATCACTGCAGATCACCTCAGAGCTTGGGGGTTCTGGTTCTGCTCCTTGTGAAGCACCTCTAGCTCGGACCTAGACCTGACTTGAGAAAGGGGGAGGCCGAGCATCAATTGCAGTAGCTTGGGGGGGTCAACTCTGTGGTCAAGATGCTTAGACAAGAACGTGAGTGTCCTTTTACTTGCTCATGTGTTGCTTTCTTGGTCGATTGAAAGAGCCGTAAGAATTCTGGCACCGCTTCATGTACCACTACCGCAACCCCATGGGGCATGAATCCCCACACCATAAGGCCACAAGGTCCCGCCTCAAAAATGCCGGTCCGAAGCAAAAGGAACCCAAGACTGACTATAGCCCTTCCAGCAGCCCAGAAGGGCTCAGTCTTGTAGTGAACACCTAGCTTTTTGCCGATCCGACTCTGAACCTTTCCCAGAAACTGCCCCAATTCACCACCCACGACCTGCGCAGGCCAACTGTGTGAAGCGCTTCACGAATGGATTGTTTTTCAAATCGCGCGGAGACCCAACCCGCGCGTTCGTTCTTCCGGGGGAGGTAGGCGTGTGAGGAGCAAGTAGGTAGGTAAGTAGGTGGCTACAAGGTGGCTACAACTGTGGCTCAGGTTTCTTCAAGGAAGCTACCTTTTTCTTTCTTGGCAGCAAAGGGAGCTTCCTTGAAGAAGCCAGGGTCGCCTTAAGGATTTGGTGCCGGGGTCGCTGTCCGCGAAGCCAAGCGCTGACTCGCTCGGCTCCAGTCAGGCGGCAGCGCCATTCACCATTCGTCGGGCATACGTAGCACTTTGCCAATTGGCAGGACTGTTAGCTGCTGGCTAAACCATACGGCTGAGTGAAGCTTAAAAAATACGCAGGACTGTTAGATGAATATTGGATGATATTGGGAAACAACCTGACCATATATGTGTGATCACTTGGCCTTGTTCAGGCCATAGACCAAACGACGGCATTCGCCACAAATGTCCAGCATGGTGTCTTATCGAACTGGCTGGATGTGATGGAGGTCGACCCGAAGATGCGTCGATGCCACACTGAATCCAAGATGAAATTGAGACTGAGGATTACCATGTTGGCCATCGCTGCCAACACCCTTTACCTGGGCACGGGCACCAAGTCGTGCTCACCTTTTTCGGGTGTGCGATGTCATCATGGCGGTGCGGGGGTAGCGGGGAGGCAAGAAGATGAAGGAGCTTTGTTTGATGGGTTTCGGTGGCTTCCCAGGCGTTTGGGTTTGGGAGAGTTTTCCGAAGGTATGTGCAATGCTGTCAAATGAACGAGAGAGGCACGTACACTGTACGTTGCACCAAGTAATATTAATATATATATACTACTTACTAGTATCTTAGGACTTGTCGAACATATATGGCGATTCCAAAGGCCTATGTCATCAATTTTGAACCAACATGGTCATTTGCTCTTAAGTCAGTCCTATGTCATCAGGCCACAGCCATCACAATCCCCGGAAAAATGAGGCTTTCAGTGTTCAGTGAAGATGCTTGATGTATTTTGCTTTCTTTATTGTGGAGGCGCCCAAAGGACCTAAGGCACCAGGTTTCCCCACCCAAACATCCTGTATTGCTCGATGTGTGAGCGCAAATGACCTAGCCCTGTGGGTAGCCGTGTGGGTATGTCAGTTGAACCACATTTGCCTAAGTCACTAGACAGTAGTATATATATATATATTAATCGGATACAGCAGAGAACCGGCCACTCCTGAAAAGCGATTGACCTTTCGACCCTGTTTGGAGAATGATTCTTGATGAAAGAAGGTCTTTTATCCTGTCCAAAAAGTAAGACTTGAACCAGATTCACCTCAGTAGCTCAAAGCAACGGTTTCTTTCAAAGCAAGTCCGGTCCTGAACCTCCAAAGCCTGGGTCGTTCTCTCTCTCCGCGCCGCGTGGCTCTCCACCGAGGCCTCGTGGCGGACAACAACGCCCGGTCCGCCCAGGGACCGGCGTCTCCGGGAGCGTCCAAGGACGTGGTAATCCCGATGGAGAACAGCGATGGACCAAGGACCATGTGTTGAATGTCCAGATCTGAGAAGCAGACCATGTGTTGACCATGTGTTGACCTCTGAACAATTGCAGAAGGACCATGATCTGAGGAGCAGGATTTTCTGAGGTTGGATGCTTTGGGACATGGGCCACGGTCTCCATTCCTCAGAACGCCTAAGCCTTTAGGCGTAGAGGACACCAACTGCATCAAGGACCGTTTGGTGGGTATCATCCTGGATTTGGTCACCATCCCCAACAATCCCCCAAAAAACTCAACCAATCACTCAATCTCAATTGGACCTCTCCACATCGATCTCCTGCTGAAGCCAACCGGGTGAGCAATCCCGACTTCGACCGACCGGGCGACGACCGGCCAACGGCGCGCGTGTCGTTTGGGCGGCGGGCGTCGTCCGAGGTCAAAAACGCCTACAAGCAGCTCAGGGGAGAGATTGTCGAGAAACCCTCCGCCTCTCGGCGAATGGAAAGAGAAAGAGAGAGAGGGAGGGAGAGAAAGAGAGAGCACCTGCAAAAAAGGATCCAATGGCTTATAGAGATCATGAAACCTGCAGGAGTTGTCCTGTTCGCGTTTCAGCCCTGTGTCACTGTGTTGTGTTGTTCCAAAATTGCTTTGCTCCGACATTTGTCCACAAAGGGGAAAGCAGTGATGAGGGTGGTTGAAAGAAATCCTTGCATTTGTTCGTACATGTTCTACAGGGCCAGGGTGGAGTGTTGTTTGGATGCTGCTTTCGACCGCTTTCCGAAATACCTCGATGCTCTCGGAACAGACCCGGGACCCCAGGCCCACTCACAACAGAGCTGGTCTAAAATGCTTGGTGTTTGGGCCAAAAGCACTGGTACATGCAGAGGCACAGAAGCCCAAGGTTTGTCCTACGTCAGCCTGATACACATTGAGAAAAAAACCAAACAACTCACAGTTGTTCAGTAGCTGCGAAAATATCGTTTTAACCTGTTTTATGAAAATCCGATGCTCGCGCGAAACCCCCGCAAGCTTGGCGCTTTGGATGGTCAGAGGCCTGAAGGGAGGCCTGAAGGCGTTCGTCTCAGGTCATCCCAGATATCTCCTTCACCGGTCGGGGCTCCCGGTGATCGTCGGTGCCCTCGAACGAGGTCGTGGGGCACCTCATTGAGGGACCCGGACAGCCTCTTTGGGGGAGCCAGCTGAGGTCTTCACAAGTTGTTGAAGATCAAGGAAGGAGGGTGAATACATCTGAAAGGTCTAGAAGGTCTACTGGAAAGAAGGACCAGCAAAGCACGGCAAGTATGGGATGACCCAAAAAAATCGGCTATCAGGGTTGAATACCGCTGTTGGAAGACATTCTGCAGGACCTGTGACCCCCAGCATCGATTTTATTCGGTACTGTCAACGCCCAGGTGAACGCTTCCACCCGAAAAGAAGAAAGGAAAATGCGGGTGAGAGCCATCTGCGGTGAACATCCCGATTTTCGGGTGGATGCAGCTTGAACGCTTTTGGGGTCAGGTGGAAACGGCCGGCATGTGGCAGCGAGGAGAGAGGGAGAGAAATTGGGTTGCTTGTGAAGAGTTGCGCAACGGTTTACACCAAGCATCCCTTTTGCTTTCGCTCTTTTGGTATCAGTTTCATGGCTGGGGAGGAATACATATAGGAAAAGTAGTAGACTGAGCACACGGAAGCACCCCTTCAAAACCAGGGGTGGCAAGCACCACATGACTCCATGGCAACAAAGACTGATCCCATCGTAGTGTCCACAGCAATTGGCCCTGTCGTGGTTTGGTTGTGTTCTCCTCGCAGCTTGGTTCACCATCGAGATTTTCATCAAGATGCTGGCGGAGAAAGTGCCCCTTGGCACCCCCTTTTGGGGGGTTGGGAGGTGGGGTCATCGACCCCCGCCGGCGCGAAACGGGTGCAGGGGTGCGAGGAGGTGGGAGAAGGAGGATCCTCCGAACGGGGCGCCCCCTACCGGAAGTGGAGAAAGCTAGCAAGTTCTTGAATCAGATTTCGAAGATTGTCTACCCTTTTGTGTACGTGACGTAAGGGTGGAAACAGCTCGAGTCTGCTGGGTTCCGGTATGGCCTATCCTTTGGTTCACTGTGAGACAGTTCTCTTCTCTTCAGCCCCCAAATCGAGTTGGCCCAATTCGGAAAACGGAAGAGCGGCCACCCGTCCTGCGACGAAACGTGAATTTATCGCGCCGAAAAGAGCCGAGGCAATTCTTCGTGGGGGAGGAGAAGTCCGGGGGTCTCAGAGAGGAGTCAGTGCGCTCCTGTGACCCCTCCTGTGGGTGTGTATTAAAATAGGGAGACCTCTGAAAGACCTGGAAGAAGCAAAAATAGACCAGTCAACCCACTGCACGCAATGTGATGCTTGGGATCCAAAGGGTGGCGTCTGCTGGATCGCTGTTGGGGATGACCCCCCGAGATGTGGCTGTGAGAGGTTCCACTGAAAAAAACTGGGCTTGGGGTGGTAAACAAGTGATTGTTTCCACTTGGGTTTGGGGTGATGTTTATGTTTGGTCCATTTCCCGGCTAGAGTCCCAGTTGAGCACATGTTGGATCGAATTTCCAGAGGATTAAAAACATCACTTGATTGAACAATTCATATTGAGGGGTGCAGTGTCGTAAACCGATGGAACTCTGCATGTGTTGTCAAAGAATCTCTGTGGTACATACCTTGGATCAAGCCTTACGTACCCCATGTATCCCCACATAGTGGAGACTTTGGGCCGGGGCTTTGGTAGAAGATTCGGTGGCGGATGCAAGAATCCTGCTTCCCAAACTGGTTTGGACGATTGGTTGCGGGGTTCTTTTTGAAGATGTGGATCAGAAGTTCTCAGGCTTCCCTTCTCTTGCCGAAAAGACCCACAGAGGCCCTCCTTCGTTGGAATTTCTGGCGATGCGGAGCGACTGGTGTCATGAAGACCAATTTTTCCGGAGTGGCGCAGTGGCAGAGGGAAACGCCTTTGCCGCCGCCCATGGGAGGGATCGTCCTAAGAACCCCCCGTAGTCCATTGAGCGAACTCGGTAGGAGATCGGCTACATCGTCCCTTAACGTGGGGAGAAAACGCAAAGCATGGTCCCATGTACGATGTTCACCTGCCTGCTACTGAAAAAGTATGGAGTTGCTTCTGTCGATTTGGTGCTTGTGGCTATTTTTGTGGCAAATAGAATCACCCGCAATCCCCTTCAGTTCACTCATGTTCACTCGCCCTCTGCGTGAACTGAGGTATTGGAACTGGTTTGATTTGGCGCTGGTCACCGAGTCCATCATCGGCGTGTTCTTGGAAGGCGGATGGTGCTTGCGCCGGTGAAAGCGAGCGGTGAAAGCGGTGGAGTTCGGTCGACCGGAGCAATCCGGTCGCAGTTTTTGAATGCTCCGGTCGAGTCGCGATGCCAGGAGCCCTGTTCGTAGCGTCCTTGCTCCTAGTAGTACGGCCAGGAGCCCCTATTAGCCAGAAGGATGGCTATGAGGATATTGGAGTAGCTATATAGCTATATGTCATAGGAAGGATGGCTATGGTTGTGGGGTTCATCCAATTCGTCAAGTTCGTTGTCACCCTCCCTTCGTTTCGGGTTGTTGACTTCAATCGCCCATGGACCAAATCACGCGCTTTGTCAGCGCGGATGCCGTGAAGGCTAGTGAACTAGCTAGCTACTAGGAACAAGAAGCTACTAGCGGCTCCTGGCATCGCTACTAGGAGCAAGGACGCTACTAGGGGCTCTAACTAGCTTGGCAAGCGAATGCCCGACGAGAGAGGTCTTGGCAGATTCGGCAGGCACCACGCTATAGTTCTGCATGGAAAGGAGCATTTTGGCTTTGACATGAGGGCCTATGCGGAGACCACCGTGCAGCAGTGCCTCAACCAGACATGAGAAGCTCAAGGCAGTGGCACCCCCCAGTTCTTGGGAAAGGCCTCATGGCCAATGAAGAGCCAGCACAGTTGGCAAGTACGGCCAGTTGCATCTTGATGCGCCTGATGTAGCTGGCGCCTCTGGCAAGGCCGGATCTGTTGCGTGCAGTGGCGTGGCGTGGCCACGATGATCCATCTGCGCAATGTCATGTGCTACTTGTGAGATTAGGCTTCATTGCACTTCGCTGGGGTAGCGCTACAGAGCACCCAGCAGAGATCGAAGCTGGCTCTTGCCATGTCTCCATTCATTTGGCGGCTCAGCACCGCGCGGGTTTGATTGCGCTTCTGAAGATGCCGCAAAATGACCATTCTTCAAATCTTCCCGTTGAAGTTTGCACGGTCCTCAGAAGCGTAACCCTGTGAGGCCTTGACCTTGAGACGCTTGATCTCTCCCAGTACGGAGATCTCTTTGATATCCAATACACTCTGGTTCACGAAGACGTGAAAAAAATGGAAATCCATGGTGATGTCATGGTAAAAACGATGGCATGGTGATGTCATGGAAATATGGAAAAAACGATGGCATGGTGAACTCCACTTCCATGTCAAACCACCGAGCGAAGGGCCGCGACGACGGCGACGGCGACGACGTGGGTTCCGATGGGAAAGGTTGCCATCCGAAGAAGTAACATGGTTGACCCGCCCGCCTTCAAAGACCAATTCAAACATGGTTGACCTGGTGGTGTAGTATTTTAACACAAGATCAATAGGTTCAAGAGGTACACACACCACCGCACAACCACACGACAGGAGGGCCCAGCCTTTCCTTCCTGAGAATCTTCCGTGTCTTCCGTCTAGTCGGGAACCTCAGGGAGCTTCAGACAGGTGGCGTGGAACACGAGAGGTCGCGTGGTCCGACCCAGTTGACCCATGCAGTCGCGGGGTCGCGATTGGTTCTTTCTCGAATGAAAACCCTTAGAATAGTCCAAAGATGGTTTTTGTTGACCACCGAAGTAAAGGACTATTCTTTCTCGAGTCACCTCAAGACTTATATAGGATGTTTGCACGAAGTTGACAATAGCAAACGGTGTAACACTTGCAGGGATGCGTAAGAGGTACCATGGCGCCGGCATGTGCGGAGGTTTCATGTTTCGACACCTCAAAGTCGTACATACAACCAAAATAGTCACCAACATACATCCCTGACCTTTGCTAGAACGACCCAAGAACGCCTGCCCCCTTCTTCGAAGAACGGGTCTCACACGAGGATCCGCGACACACCCGCGACCGTCAGGTCCGTGTTGTCAAGGTGGTGCGGTCAGTGAAGGCCTTGGCCCGTTTGTCCGGGCACCCGGACTCCGGGACCGGAGGCTTCTTGTTGCTACTAGTAAGGCACTTGTTACTAGTAGCGATGCACTTGTTACTAGTAGCTTCCTGTTTGGGAATCGACCTGAAGGAGAAACACCACATGGCCATGCCGTTGCCTTCGTGTCAAGTAGCTTCGTGCAGCTTCGTCCACTTCGATTAGACCATTCTGTATTACGACTTGAGGCCGCACTTCGTCAGTGCCAGGGTGAGTGCGGCGACGGCGCAGTGCGATGCCCCTACATGGTTCCAGAGGCTCCATTCTCCAGCCCACCAGTAGTCCGTTGGAGATCTCTTCAGTCCTTCCATGTCCTTCCAATCGATTTGGGGGATTTCAATCTCGACGCTGTCACCAACCACCAAAGACTAGGCACGTCCGCGAAGGGTTTCAGCTGCGGATCTGTGCTCCAAGGCGGACGATGATTTTTGCGATCCTTCATTCCTTCGTGGGGCACTCAAGGAGATGACCAGGAAGAGCTCTGAAATGGGAGGGGGTTGGGGTCCAGAATTTACACTACACCAGGGACCAGGGTAGTTTAGCTCATGTCAGCTTATGTACTTTTCAGATTGCTGGACACTTACTTACATGCCACTTACTTCTATAGATGAGTCAGTACCTGAATTTCAATCGGGTATGATCCCTGATGAACTTCTGCAGTAATGAAGTAAGTGAGCACCACAGACGACCCCAAATGGACGCACAAAGACATTCCTCAAGACTTCGGCATTAACTTTTCTTGGGTCAATCACAAAGCTATCTTCCCATCCACCATCCTTGCCACCATCTGTGGAGGACACCTTCTGCAAAAAGCCAGCTTTGTTCAATCCATCGGACAGGCAAAGAAAAGAAGTGACCCCCCAAGCGACACCCATCCGACTCGCGAGTTCATCGTGGCGCAAAACTTCCGCTCCATCTCCTTTTTTTTACTACTAGGAACAAGAACGCTACGAACCGCTCTCCTGGCCGAACCCGAACGGAGCGATCGGACGCGAACCGCGAACCCGACTTCGGCCTTTCGCCTTTCGCGCGCGAGGTCGATCTCTTATGGGCCTTCTTGGTGCGCGGAGTCGACGAAGCGAAAGACCGGACGGACGGAAGGAGGAGCACGGAGGAACGAAAGGACGGAAGGATTTCGCGCGACTCGTTGTTTTGATTCCAAAGGTATCTCTCTTTGGAGCGTCTAAAAATCCCGAACACATCCAAGTGCCGACTGAAAGTTGCGGTTCATTCTGCTATTCGGTTGGAAGCCACCTAGTAGCTTCTTACCTCCAACAAACATGGCTTCCTGTGGAACATGGCTTCCTGACTGGTTTCCTCGACGAACAGCGCCGTGCCATCCACGTCACCATGATTCGTTGGATCTCATTCTGCCGGCCCACCCAGTAAGTGATTTCCACCTCACCGGCCAGGTCATTGTCCTCATCGTTTTTGTCTTCGCCATTGTCTTCGACAATGCCGTGGTTCGGGTCCTCACCAGTGAATTGTTCCAGGTTTATAGGTGTACCATTTGAGTTCATTCAGTGGATATTCTGTCACGAAAAGCAGCTCAAAGAGTTTGTTCTTAAAACTTCCTTTGGGAGAAGAGCACGTGGTTTCATATGTAAAGCTCTTTGTTCTAAGGCCGTAGGAGTCGGTGTGTATTTGTGCGTTCTTATGTTTTTGGTTGTTAATGGCTTGGCATGATCACCCACCCACATGTGTTCTGTCCAAACCCATATATTTGCTCACCATGTTGAGAGGATTTTGAAAAAGAAGATGTGAAGCAGTGAAGAACTGTATCTTTGCTTTCCCCAGACAATGTGGGAGTCTTATTCTCTTGGGGGGAAAGGAAAACTGATCCAAACAAGATGAGATTGACTGAGGGCGAAGTGTTGTGAAGGCTGTTGCACTATACCACCCACCCTTCCTTGCTGTGCTGGATGACGCTTGCGCTCAAAAGAACTTCCCAAACACGCTTTGCAGAGCATCTCAAGTGCCATAGTCGAATTGCTTGGAACAGCCACATGTTCTCACACCCACTATAGGTTCATGCAGTGACTCCGCCCGAATCGCCTTTTCTCCCTTGTTGGTAGCCACCCACCACCAGCCCAGGGCCACCTGTTTTCGAAACCGCCCACTCCCAGGTCTTCCAAAGGTAGTACAACTTGGTACCCCCATCCACACCAACGGTCCACTCTTCACCATCCCACCCTCCAGACCCCGACCGACTCGATGTTAAGACCGACTTCTCGCCGATCGACTTCGCCGCCCACCCGCACCGGACCGGACCGGAGCGCGAAAGCGGAGGCCGATTACTTTCTGAAGATCAACCCCATCGACATCCTGGACCCCGAGAGCAAGAAGGCGCCGTTCCGCCGAGGTCCCACCACAGGTCACGCCCTCAACTGGCGGCGACCACCACAGGTCACGCCGTCTCCTCGGGTCCCACGCGCGGGCCGGTCCGTCGTTTCGTTGGGGCCCGTGGGGGGGCTGGATTGGTTTGCGGTCGCAATGGACAGGTGATGGGAGCAGTTTGTATGGGCAAAAGGGTTCTGTTTGAGCTTCAAAGGTGGTGGCGTGGTGCGTGGTGCGTGTTCCTCGAGGATGAACCCGGTGCGTTCGATGTTGGACAGCGACCGGAGGTGGACCCAAAGACGAAGTGAAACGGGTGAAGCAAACCGGTCTGCGTTGCTTTCAGGGGAGTGTTCGTCTGGTTTTGGGGTCACCTGATGACCTTGAGATCCGAGCCGAGTTGGGGGTCACGAACTACTTCCGTTGTGTTGCGACTCGCGCTTGGTTGCAAGGGTCAAGGCATGGAGGTCGCCGTGCAATTCGCCTCCTTCAGTGGCGCTCGGCTCCACCGGCCCAGGCGCAAGAGGTCTTTAACATGGAGCTACTGTGCGACGCCTCAGAAGTGGCAAGAAGTGTCATAGACCTAGTAGCTTCTTGTTCCTATAGTAGTAAGGCCAGGAGCCCCTAGTAGCGTCCTTGCTCCTAGTAGCGATGACAGGAGCCCCTAGTAGCGTCCTTGTCATTGCAGAATTGATCGTCTTTGACAAGTCTGAAGAAGTGTGACTTTGTTTGGTGGGGATAGAATTGGACACCTGGGAAGATACACCCCCAGCCGGGTTCTCGGGTTTTCGTCCGAGAGCTCTGTCATTTGTGAATGGCTTCTTGTTCTCAGCTTCTCCGCAAACCATCATATAAGAGAGCGCAGATTGTGGGCCTTGGGTTGCCATCGACAATGAAGAAATGGAGAGAAGGGGTACTCCAAGAATGCGCCATTCCCACTCGAGTTGAGTGCCATTCCCAGTGGAGTGGAGTTGAAACCCGATCGCCCCAGCTTCGGCGACCTCTTGGAGACCATGATCTCCCTGTGGTCGGCGGTGAGCGGCGGCAACGACTGGATGTTCTACGGAGACCTCCTGAGGAGCGGTTGGAGTGGCGGGACGAGAGGGACGGGCTGTTTCGTGGCAAAGGTCCGAACTTTGTGTGGAAGATTCGTGATGGAAGTACCCTAAGAATCCGGGCGCTCAAACAGATAGGGTTTTGAGGCCCCGGACCCCTGCGAAGGTGTCGGGTCCGACCCCTGCCATGGACAGCCCAAGGATTCTTAGGGTACCAAGATTTTTCTGCTGGTTCTATCACCAAGTATTGCTGGCTTTTCACAGACATTCCAGAAAGCAAAGAATGGATGGATATGTGTTTGCCCAAACCAATTCTCCATCTCAGGGAAGTGCCCATGGGCGGCATGTACTTTGCGATCTTCAACTTCTACGTGGCGTCCTGCACTGAGAGTGCCGGTGGGTTAGGTGGCCAAGGGTTGGAGGGAAAGGATGTCTTTTTCATGTTCCTTGTTGACCCATCGGTCCAAGACCTGCAGATCAGTTGGAAATGCACATGATCCCATATGATCCCATTCTCTACAGGGGTTGTCCCCCCTTCCCATGTCCAGTGTGGTCCTCCTTGCTCTCACGCGCTCCGCGCTCTCCGATCTCTCCACTCCCCCCTCCATCCATCCGCGGCGGATGGAGTCTGGCGGACAGTTGGAGCCGGATGGAGTCGGTTGAGAACGGTCTGTTCGGGACACCCAATGAGAACCGGACCGAACCTACTCGACCACATGAACCGGACCTTCGTCTCCCATGTGGGGACACATGGATCGGTGGATGCAGCAGAGAGGTCAACCCGTCGGCACAAGGCCGGCCATTGGCCGCACCGGTTTCAGCACGCAAGGGGCAAGAGAAGGGCTCCGATGTGGGATTCTTGCGGAATTGGCTCATAGCAAGGGGTCAGTTCAAGTTGCACAAAAATTGATGGTTTCTTCGAGCAAGTTTCAATGTGGAGCGAAATCGGTCATGCTGAAACTCCCCATTCCCCACCCAAAAGCCTCATTGGAAGACCCAGTGTGAGAAGTTCCCGGTGGTCAAGAATTGTCTATCCCCGTCATGAAAATTCATCATGCACTGTGAACATTTGGAAATCAAGGAACTCTTTTTCTTCACTTGACTTAAGACCAGCTCGTGATTCGAGTTGGTAGCCTTGACCCAGTGAATCTAGGAACCCACAAGCTGTCCCATGCAACCCACTGACCAAAAAATATCACAACCCCGCAGCACAAGATCGGAGACCAAATGAGCACATCAAGTCCACTACTCACCAGAAATCTCTGAAAAGGTCGATTTTGCCGTTGGGGCAGGGAATCTGCGCTGGTTCGGCACCAGGTTCTGTGTGGTGGGCATGTTCAACGTGGTCACTGGAGCCACTTGGCAATCTGCTGCAGAGGGCAATACGTGGAGGGCAGCACCAGTTGGTCTCAGTTGGGTGGCCCACAAGAAAGGATGCAGGATGATGTACAGTGGGTTCAGAGTAGATGGCACAATCCCCAAGAGGTGGTTTATAATATGAACCCCCATCTAAAGGACATGTAGGGGTTTGTGCCATTTACTCTGAAACCACTGTAGGTGTTTTCGTGATTGAACAAGACTACGACGTGCTTATGTCTTCATGATGGGACACGGCCGCCACATGGGCCGGGGCGACCTGGCGAAGAAGATCAACCCGCCAAGGGCGCCTGCAGAACACCTTGGCAGAACACCTTGGCAAAAAGGCCTGGGTGTAGGACCTGACTACTCGTCACCGCTACCCTTTCCTTTAACCTTCAAAACCCAGAGGTCAGCTACAGTTTCAGTTCCAAAAACTCCTCTGGTTGCTAAGTCGAACACTGGAGAATTCCACTCTGTTCCCGCTGAGGCTTCGGCTGGAACTCACTCGCGCAACGCCTCGGTGCCACTCCTCGGTGCCACTCCAGGTCTTTGTGGACTCCGCAGTGTGTGTCCGGACGGGCGATGAAGTGGTGCAAGGCGCGTGACGCGTACCACGCGTCACGAGGATGAGGATGGGATGGGGATTTGGAGGATGGGGTGGTTTTGGAATGGTTTGGAAGATGGTTTGGTATGAAAAGATCACGAAATCACCGGAGAGATGATCAAAAGGACAGTGTTATTCTGTGTCATACTGTGGCAGCGTGTCCATCGAGTTACATCCTTTGGGAGTAGATCTGGACAAAAGGAACTGAAAACCCTAATATGCCCTAATATCTTCTTGCTACGTAGCAAAAGTAATGGCCTCCAACTCTCTAGTTGATATTCCTGGTGCTTTGTAGATGGGTTTCCTTGACATCCCGCCCTTTGGATCGAGCCACCGGAGGACGGATGATCCGGTCACCGCTGGATGACGAGTGATCTCGTCCCGGACCCTTGTGTCAGGTCGTGGTCCTTTCTGCGAAGGTCTCCTCGACTCACGATTCGCCTGGTGATGTTGAACCTTCCTTTGCAAGGTCTTTGAAGCCCAGAATGTGCATGGTTTCAGGGTTTCGATGGGTTTGCCCACCGGAAAGCTTCTTAGGTCGACCCGCACCCACCCCAACACCCCGGTCTGGACCGCGGTGAAAAGACGGCCAGGTTACTTGGACGATCTGCGTCAAACGACGGAAGAGATCAAGGGCTTTTTCAAAGAAGCCGACATTGACGGCTCAGGCACTGTTCCGTCTGACTTCTTTGGGGAGGGAGCGGCAGATGGGCCTTTTTGCTTGGACATAGCTATGAGGTTGGAGGCCATTGCTCTTCCTATCATTCTAACACTGCAGGCCATCTCTAGTAGGGTGTCCGTTTGGTGCCGCTTCTTCCGGCCCATCGCGGCGGAAACCCGCTGTTGGATCGAAGCGCTGGGCCCGATCCGAGGGGGTTTGGGGCATGGTGTTGTTCTTTGCCCCCTTTGGACCGAAGTCACCGCCCAAACGGGTGTGTCCCACAGCTTCTTCGTCCCGAGTCGGAATCAAAGCCACCCCGAAAGCGCGCGCTTCTTCTACCGCAGCTTCAAGCGCGGTGTTCGCACGCGCGCTGTTCAATCAATGCGGTGTTCGCACTCGTGGGCAGGAACCTTGAACTGGAGCGAATTTCAGCATCATATGCAGAACCCTGCCGTGAAGGCAGAAAGCAGATGACGTGGGGACCGCGTGAGGACGACGACGGCAGGTTTTGCGAAGGAAGGACGTGGGGAAGTGTTGATTCAACAAAACGAGCACAGCTCCGATGGTTTGCTGTTCTTTGAAGTACCAAATGAACCAGTTGATTCAAGGCCTCCAGTGTTTTTGTCACTGGAATCATTTGGAATCGCAGTGGAACACCTGGCGTTCACCTTTTCGACAAAGCAACTAACGGTGTTTTTCTTTCCAACAGCTTTTGAAGCGCCCAGTCACCATGAACCCCACCAGTCACAGTTCGTTCGCCATCCGTGGATGACCTGCCCAATCGGCTGAGGAGAAGATTGTCATCAAAAAGAATTCACACAGAAAGTTGTTTTAAATCCCTAAAAAAGGATCCCTCCCGAATCTAAGTAGGGTCTAGTGAATCTAAGTAGGGGTTCTTCTTCCAGTCGTCTTCTTTGGCTTCTTATTGAATAAAGGCCATAGCCCTGCCGGCCGTTGTCCGCGCCTTGTTAAGCCGTGGCGGTGAGGCATACTTCTCTGGCCTGGACATCGACCCTGAGGAGGTGCGGCCTTGGGCGTCGGAAAGAAGAGGGAAGCTCCAGCTGGACCAAGGTCCAGGGGGCGTGAGGAAGAAGCGCATTCGGAAGGTCCTTCAGGACCCAAGATCTCCTCCCTTTTTTTTTGTGGTTTTTATAATGGGTTCCTTCTGGTTTGGAAGTCCTGGAAGTCCTGGGTCTCATTTCCTGTCCTTTTATGGCTTGTCAAACCGCTGAAGGAAAACCGTCGCGATCTAGTCGTGAATGCTTCTTCCTGTGATGGAGAGGTTGGTTAGATCCCGAGATCTGCCAAGACGATCGGCATCGGAGCATCGTGATTTCTCCAGGTCCTAAGGCTGTCACATGATGTCCTGCAGAGCCCACCAACGTGGACCACTGGTCACTTCCGCCGTGCTAGGCGATTAGGCGGCGGTTGTTGAGGCACCTCCGGCTTGGTCATGCTCCGATGCACGAAGACATGCCCGACATCAAACCATCATAGACAAGATGGATGTGTTCCAGCAGGGCGATGGGCGATATGAAAGAAACCCAGCAAGGATCTCCGGACTCCAACTCACACCAGACACTTGAATGCTCCACTCCATTTGATTCATGCTTCCGCTCCTCCCGCTGCTACTGTTTCTACCACCGGCGTTTCCCACTCGCCTGCACGGAGGCCGAAATCATTTTCACCATTTTGGATGGAGACAAGAGCAAGGAGACACCGGTCACCGCTCCGACGCCCGTCACTCCGGTCGGAACGGGCGGAAGCGGCGGAACGGGCCCACTCCGTGTGGACGAAGGCATCCGTGGTGACGGCGTGGTGCCCTGTGATGGTGTTTGAACTGGCACCAGTGGTTCCGTGTGCACAGGATAAGTAGAGAATCTCAATCACAGGAATTGAAGGAATCGTAGGTGATCGAAGGGCAGCCCATATGATCATATTATCAGAAATGCACAGTCGTACAAACAAGTAGGCCCATGACCGAAAGATTCCTCACTTTCGCTACGTACTCTGAGAAAGAATCTGGATTGACGGACCTTTCATCAAGTGAGTGTTCCATGTGTGAACGGTTCGTTCATGGTGTGAACGCCTCCACCCGTTTTCGGACCGTTCGTCGCTTTGTTTGTGCCCACAAAGCTACTACGACGAGCCGCCAGGAGATCAAGATCGACGAGTTCGTGAACGGGACGATGAAGCTCAAGGCGAGGGTGACATCGGCGTGTGTTTTTGGCTTGAAGCTACGAACGGAGCAAAGGGCATCGCTCCTAGCAGCTAAGGGCATTACTATTAGCAAGAAGCTGCGAACGGAGCAAAGGGCATCGCTACGTTCGGGTTCAAGTGTGCTCCACCAGGTCCGACCTCTAAGTGAGAAGACAGAGAAGGTGAAAGAAAAAGGGAGGAGAAAAAGGATGAGTACACATTTCCATCACCTGATGTGCCTCTTGTGTTCACCTGATCCACCGGCACCCTTTCAATTTCAGGTCAGTGGAAAGAAAGACACAATGGACTTAAAGTGTGACTGCCAGAAATGGAACCCAACAGCAGGAACAGAAAATGGGTGGACATGTTGCATTCCTGAAGAATTTGATCCATCCGTGCTTTTGGGGCAAATGTTCTGGTGGCTCGGCTTTGTCATCCAAAATAGAGTCCCTTGAGGATAACAACAGACCCCAAGGTGAGAGATTTAAGCTGCTGACCAAGCGCTCCTATCCCCAGGCTGCGCCTCACCGGTTGCTAATCATTCGTGGAATTGAAACCATGCGTCTTGTGGACATCTTTCGACGCCCATTCGATTGACGACGCACTTCGATGGCCGACTAGCCCTCGGCAGGGCTCGGCCGTCGGAATCGGCTCCGAAGCGATCGCCCGCGACGACGAGCCCTGCAGGGCTCGGCGACGAAGTTGGATCTCATGGCGCTGATGTATGACCAAACCAGGCGAAGACGGAGGGTGAGTGGGCCGGGGGCTGGCGAGCGCTGGCCGGCGACGGCGAAGGGGCGTTCGGCTGTGGCAGTGAGTCGATGGGAAAAAGGCAACAGAATGACTGCAAATCACCCCAAGAGGCTATATAGTCATCCAAAGTCTAAGAGATTTCCTAAGAATCTCTAAGATCCTAAGACCAGGAAACTTCTGCATGCTTTTCAAGGCGTCCACGAGTTAGGAGAGACCTTCCTCAATCGTCCATCAAGAGTGGGATGCTGGCGAATACTGGAAGGTCATGATCATTCTTTTAAAGTCCGCTCCCCCCCTCCCTCCTTAATCAATGTAGAGTTGGATACCCAACCTAAGAGCTGTTTCACCAATATCCTGTCGTGGTTTGTCGATGGTTGAATTGGTGGTGTCCATGATGCCTGGGAGAGAAACGACCTGCAGGAACTCGACATACGATTCAGATCTGGTCGTGCAGATCGTGTCTTAAACTCGATCGACTCTCGATCGAGTCCAGGTTCTGTTGCAAAGGACGAATGACGACTGCAATCAGATCAAACATTATCAAACACTGCTAGACTCAAGATGAAAGATGTGGATGAAGCATGGTCATAGCAATGGTCATACAGGAGAAGGACCATCCGAACGTGTCATGAACACGGATGTATGGTCCATCCGAACGTGTTTGGGAAGGGTTCTCCAAAGTAATGATGGTTTTTGAAAGATGGAAGATCCAAAGATTCTCGATGTTGACCCACTGCCTTTGGCTCCTTTGGCTTTAGACACACTGCAGACGCTAGGTTGTTATCCTCATCACCCAGTGCGTGTCGCCGGGCGGATGAGGCAAAACATGAAGTTCGACGCCCTGTGCGACTTCGTGGAGGAGGAGCTTCAGGACATCAAGCGCCGCATGCAGGCGAGGCAAGCCATTCTTGCAGAACATCGAATCATGCAGGACATGAGCAGTCTTGCAATGGCTTTGCGGAGAGGGCGCTGGTGCGTAGATGTTCGTAAAGGGGAGAAGCCTTGTCGGTTGGGCCAGCGTAAGGGTCTTGTGGGGATTGATCTGCAAGAGCTACAGACCTCACGCTCGCAGCGTTTCACCAGCACAACACCCAACCGACGCTTCGTTCGACGTGCTCGACCGGTGGAGGGACAACGTGAGCCCATCCAGTCGACGCGGAGGGGGCGACACACGGAATGGGCCAAGCCGCCCCATCCGCGGAACGCAGGGGGCCGCTCGGACCGGGCAAAGCAGGGACCGGGCTTCTCCACGTATATTGGAGGTGCCGCAGACGGAGAAACGACAGGAGTCGCCGTGGTCTGGTCTCGCTTGGACACCCAGGACACCGACAGCTATTCTGTAGATAGTAACAGCGCACGACTGTCGCTGAACTGTTAACTTGCAATGCGTCGAATGCCCGTGAGGTACAACTTTACAGGAACAAAAGGAAACTGGCGCTGGCTGCAGCATGTTCCTTTGCAGCCTTTCAATGTGTGTGTCAGCCGGGTTGTGCCTTGCGTTTTGGATGAACATGGATTCCCATGATCACTCAGCTCCGGAAGGGTAGTCTTTTTGTGTCTCAAAAGGACCCAAACTACAAAGAAGGTCGACCTGAAAAGTCCTATTTTTGTTTGGCAGCTTGACAATATTATAGTATAATTTGTATATATATATATATCATAAAGTATTATATATACTGTGTAGAACAAGGTTCTAATTTGTATATGGTGTTTTTTGCTTGTTCTGTTGAAGCAAACATTTCTCTCACTTTCTCAGATCGACCCGCCAGGCCGCGCCGAGCCCCCGCAATGCCTCCCGCGAGCCGCCGGGGGCACCGGCGGCGCCGCGGTTGCCGCAGCAAGTGCCGGCCTATCGCTCCCCGCAGCGGCCGCGCCAGGCAAGTTGAAAAGAGGGTCTTTGCTTTGAAGGAAAGGCCTCCCACCTAGAAGCAATGGCCTCCTAATGGCAATGAGGGTGCTTTTCAAGAGGCTGGGGGGCTGTTGAGAGAGTTCGATCATTTTTTAGGAGGCCTTACGGGAGATGCATGGATGTGGGACATTGTGGGACCACTTTTGTGCGAAGTGACAGCGCCAATGAACACCCCATGGCAAAACCATCACACCGGCGGCCCATCACACAGCACTCGCGGTGTGGAGACCGCTGGCCACAGGTCCGCGAAGTGCGCATCGACGCCAATGTGCCACGAGTCATCGACAGCAGCATCCCCCGGGTCATGGTGCCGTGGCCAATTAGTCCAGAAGCGACCGAACCGCAGCGCGCAAAGGGTGGAACAAGGGTCCAAGGGTGGAACAAATGGCTGTCCAGTTGGATGAAGGGCACATTGAGGGTGAACCATGGATCGGTTGGAAGCTTCCTGAAGCGTTCTCGATTTGGGAATCATTGCACGAACAAAGACCGCGATATGATATAATGCTTTGAGAAATGAAGACAGTGTCAAAAGAAAGTAGGCGGGTCCATGAACGTACCCAGACCGGAAGATAAAACGGTCTGGGCAGACGGCAGACGGCACCCTGTTCGGCTGACTTTGTTTGATTGGTCATTACTGACACCAGAAAGACCTGCCACAGCCACCACACTACCCCACTTACACCTCCAACTCCAAGGTGAAACTCAGAAATAGGCCTGTGGTTTCGACCATGTTTCCTCCAAAAACAGCGGCTTTGGGAGACCACAACCAGTGGTCGTTCCTGGTGGGCTTTTCTCGGCACGCTGGTGGGAAAGCTGTGGGTTTTCACGTTTGGTGCAGCTCTGCAGGTTTGGGCATACGAGAGGTGGGTTTTTCAGGGGAACGAATTCCCACACGCTCGAGCGGGAATCGATGTGAGACTAGCCCCCGTCTACGGACAGAAAGTGCTGCAACCAGAAGGGATGCTGAAGGGCGAGTCCAAGCTCAGCAGATTGCTGGATGCTTGGGAGTATCTGGGGAAACTCTAGCAGGGAATACAAAAAGAAACGCGAGAAAGAGAGAGAGAGAGAGATTTTTGATAGTGGAAAAGAAGGATCAAAGAAATCAAACACCAAGTTGCAGGCCATCGCTAGTAGGTTGGCCATCGCTAGGCTGGGAGACCATCGCTTAGTAGGTGTCTTTTCTGACGACGCCTTAGTCGGACGCAAAACCATCGAGCTCCGTCTCACTCCGCAGGTCCCCGCACCGGACGCGCCCGACCGAGGCCGTCCCGCGCCGGCGATGAGCGGCGTCGAGGCAGGATCCGCAGGGTGTTCGGTGGCGTCGGTGGTGGACAGGTCTCCGTAGGTTGTTTCGCCATCTCGTCACCCGAGTTGCTTTGAAAGGAAACGGCTTTTGTTTAGAGCAACAGACAGGGGAGAAGATGTCAAAAAGGGCAAGACGGCAGCACTTTGGTTGGTGGAAAGACGCCTTTCTCTCCTGCGCGGTTTGTGGAGGTTACTCGGGAAGTACGGTAGGATGACTGGTAGTCTAGGTTGATCATGTTGATCTCCCCACATTGGTTCCCTCATTGGTGATAGCTCTAGAGTCACCTGAACCATACCGGTTTCAAAGTATTATAGCTTATAATCACACCATTCCTGACTTCCACAACATGCCAGTGTTGAAGCCAGATGTGCACTGAACAGCATAACTGAACAGCATTTTTCCTGGTGGACTCTTCCCACAGTTCAGCCCTTTTCTATGGATTTGACCCAACTGTTGTGGAAACAGTGTCCTACACTGGCACAAAACCAGGTAAAAGCTCTCATGTCAACCTGTGTGATTGTCTCCGATGTTGTCCCAGCAGCCCATCATGTTGTCCTCCATTCACTTGTCAACTTCACTTGTCTTCCACTTGTCAACTGCAACGAGAGCTCATCAGCGGACGGCTGAGGCCACCGGAAGAGACGGTTGAAGAAACGCCACCGCTCGAGGGGGTTTTTCGTCGAGGAACTCGACGACGGTGTGAAGGAAACGCCCATCACTGGGCTGCGCAAAGCATGAGGGAATCTTTGCAAGTTGCTGATTGAAAAGCTTCATTTAGTAGCTCTACTCACAACAACACAACCTCAGCTGTGGATTGATTAATCTCTCAAAAGGAGACCTGTTTGAGATGGAGTAAGTTGACCGCCACGGAGGCAGATGAATCCTCCCTTTTGACATGTCTCCATGAACAAATTGGTGGTGGAGCCAGTCAACAGGGATCCTGGAACCTTCTCGTTTGTTGGCTCAACACGATGTGTCATCTATTGTTCCTCTAAGATCTTTTGGGACTCTCTTCTTCTCTCTTGCGATCGCCGAAGACCATTTTCCCCTTCGGTGCCCTACAAAGTCAGAGCTCCAAAGAGGTATACTGGGGTGTCCCGTTAAGCCAGTAGAGCCGTCGGTAAACAAGAGCACGATTTGAGAGAAAGGCCTGCAACCGAACCATCATCATCCACTATTGGGAATGGGATAGACCCATATAATATATACTCTATTGGTATATATGTTTATAGTATATATGTAGTACATAGAATTAGTCTGTTTATACCAGTGGCCCCCCGCAGGTCTTTGAAAGACCAGCCTATCCATACCTTCAGAGCCCAAAGAAACCCTCGTCCGACAGAGATTGGGGGCGACGACCTGACGAGCGAGCTGAGCGGCCGAGTTCCACGCAACGTGTTTCAGCTGTGCTTGAAACCTGTTAGCGGTAGGGATGGCCTCCAACCTAGTAGCAATGGCAATGTCGTTGAAGTTTCACTTCAGGTGGCAACTCGCCAAGATTCCAGCGCTTCCATATACAATGTTGAAAAAAAGGGGGACCTCCCAGATTCAAAAGAACGAGGATTTCCCCTGCTGCTCCTCCAGGGATGTCCTCCGCGGCACCTCTCATGTTGGAATGACACCCTTCTCCTCAGCCTCGCATCGTGACGTGAACGTTGCTCCGCAGATGTCGAGATTGGTCCATGTCGTCTCACCCGGTGTGGCCCGGTGCGGCTCCGTCTTCTCGCCCTGGGTGAAACCTGTGAGATGGCCCTGTGCTGATCTCCAAACACCTAATGTTAGACTCTTGATGAATAAACTCCCCATATGATGAGGATTGTCCACTTCAAATCTTCAAATTGGTTCTTTTTTGCCAAGGGTCTACCTTGTCTTCCCTGCAGCGAGCCGTAGACATCATCCCTTCTAGTCATTCTAGTCACGGCTAGTCGCGGATGCTAGTCGCAATGTGTGTGTCGTTGTGCGATCGGAGCACCCAGACAAGTCACACGGCCCACCCAACTTGGAGTGTCATCCCAAAAGCGGAGGAACACCGAACATTTTTTCTTGGAACGTGGATGATTGCATGCCACACTAAAGCCATTCGTTGATGGCCCGAAGTGAAGCAAATTATCCAGGGATCTCAAAAAATGACCGGGAAGTCGAGTGTATGGGGGGTAAAAACTTGTGGAACAGCTTCTTTGGCATGTCAAAGAATGTGGTCGAAACCGGTTCACGTGAGTTAGGCCCTTTGGTGGTTTCGTTGGTGCTTTGCAGAATGCAGAATGCAGTCTGTTTCTGGCTGGAGACGACACTCCAAGTGATTACTGGCTCTGCGAATGCAGAGCCGCACATCGACCGGTGTCCACATGGAAAAAGCACCCGCTCCACCGTTGAAAGGCCCGGAGCCCAGCCCTCCGTCTCATTGGGAGGAGCCGGCTCGGGCGTTTCGGGTAGAGCGGATGAGCGCCGGGTGTGTTGCATTGGGACTTTTGATCGCAAAGATGAAGCCTAAGTCAAAACGGTTGACTTCGTTCTCTCTCTCTCTCTTTGTTGGCCAGGGTGTCATGTTCCCTTGTGTGTGCCTGAAAAGGGGTGTACATAGTTCTAGTCGTCTTGCAGCAGCTGTGGCTCAAGAGGCTAGAGTTGTCAGAAAGGCATCGAAGGAAAAGTGGCACAGCATGCTGCCTTGAGGTGGTCTCAGCGTCCTTCTGCGAGAATTGCTTAGTCTTTGTCCTAGAAGAGAGACTTAAACCAATGAACACCCAGGAAAATCGGACTCCCCAGTCATCCCGAGGGTTTGAACTCACCGATGGACTCACAAAAGCCCCGGTCGCGACCGTGTGTACAGGGTCCAGGTCGAACCACATGCCCGGTCGCTGAAAATGGACATGTGCACGTGGTTGGGTCAAGCCCAAAACGAGTTACAGCCTGTGGGCCTGATGTGCTCCGGCACTGCCGATGGCAAAGGTGGGGTGATGCTGGAGGACACTGTTTTCACCGTGCTGGAGTAGATGGAATGAAGAAACTCAGTTCTAAGATTCATCGTCTAATCTGTTTTTTGGTTGCATCATGTGGCAATTCACGGGTGGAATCTCCACAGTTGAACCTTCCGTCGCTCTGCGTCACCGGCGGACTGGAGGGAACGACGACCGCCGACCGGTTCGGGGACGACTCGGCGATGGACCAGACGAAGGGGGTCAGTTCCGATGTTCACCGGGTGAACTCAGGTTCCATGCGGTCTGTTTCTGTTGCGCGGCGGTATGAATTTCGTGTCCTGAAATGGGAAGGGATTTCGAACCTGAGGGAAGTTCACGCCAAGCCAACTCCAATGATCGAAAAGGAGAACCAGGGTGTCTCCTCTGATCTCTTGCAGAAGTGTCCTTCTACATGGAGATTCCCTCGTGTGGAAAGACGCATATGAACAAGAGAAGTAAACCCTATCCATCACCAGATCAGATCATGTTTGCATACAATAATAGGTGTGATGGCTATTTGTTTCTCAATATTGGATCCATCCTGATGTTGAATAAACCACAGAGGTGATGAAAAGCACCAGCTTTCGAATACCCAAGAATTGCCATCCACCCCGACTCGCCAGATGAATCCATCGCCGACCACTCAGGCGGGATCCGATGGACTGCTTTCTGCCTGCCCAGGAAACGATGAATCCCTGGCCAAAAGCAACGAAACAACGACCAGACGTGACCACGACCTCATTGCAACACAGACCCGCAGAAGCAGCTCATGACACGTTGCATTGAGACGTTAATCTGACCAAAAACTGCGGTCGCGTCAATGGGTTTTAGGCATGTGCCAAACCCCAACAAGAGACAAGATCGCCCAACACGCTTTGCTGTTCCGAGCTGCTTGCAGGTTCCTTGATTGCCCGACTGCGACGTGAGTATCGCGCTAAAGGCTGCTGAATTCATGAAAATCGCTGGGTTCAGGATGCGTTCAAGAAGCTTTATCAGGTTCAGATCTCTATGTGGCTCCCCATTGTCAACATATCCCCTTGGCACATAAGAACTAGAAAACCATCCAGCTGAACCAAACACAAGGCTATGGTCACGAACGACATGTGGGAACCCCGAAGGAACTACAGGTCAAACAACGGGAACGATCAGGTCAGGAAGGAATCTTTGCGCCCAAACCTCAGGCGAATCCTGTAAAGATTTTATTTGTTGTTTGCTCCTACTGGGCTTCAGTAAGGGCCTTAAGTTAGCTACATGCTTCTTTAAGGAAGCTGCCCCCGCCTGAGGGTGGGGGGAGTTTCCTTGAAGAAGCGCTCACACTAAAATGATTTGGTTTCTAGATGTTTGGTAAACTTACCCGGCGTTTGCTTTGGTTGGTTTGGTTGGCTTCCTTCTTGTTTAAAACCTCAGCCAGATCCGTTCCATCCAGTCTTGGTTTCAGCTGAGTCCGATATCCAAAGACTCAAGAGGCTTTGCCACGACGAGCCTCCCAAGAAGATCTAGTGGATTCCTTTGCTAGTAGGAACAAGTGCCTTACTAACAAGTGCCTTACTGGTAGTAACAAGAAGCTATTAAATTTACTTAATTTTAATTCTAATAGCTTTTTGTTACTACTAGTAAGGCACCTGTTACTACTAGCGTGGCACCTGTTACTAGTAGTAAGGCACTTGTTGCGGCCGCGGTTTTTGCAGCTCGGTCGGTCACTGAGCAGGCAGCTTGAACGTGGCGGGGCTGTGCACGCTCTGGTGGAGAGCTCAGAATCAAGGATTCAGCGACCCAAAAACGCTGGGAGTTGAATCTTCAACGGTTGAATCTTCGATTTACATATGGTTTACTTATGGTTTACTCACATTTTGTTAGTGGCTTTCAGCCTTGACATTTCTGCCAACCACTTGGCATACAATGTAGAAGAGAAATGAGAAGAATCGTCAAACCCAAGTCTAAGATAGTTTGGGGAATACCTATGTTGGCCACTGAAAAGTGTTCATGTGCAATGTGGACAGTGGACATTGCATGTACCAGGAGT